GGGGCTACCTAGCCTTGGTTGGTAGCCAGTCTAGGAAAAGGCCCAGGTGAATTCAAAACCATGAAGGCAGCAGAAAACCACTTCATGATCTTTCCCAAGAGGTCCTTGCAATATAAAAAAAAAAAATATGAAAAAGAAAATGTGGAAAGATATGATCACTCATATCCTGCAGGGATATGACAAAAGAAATTAAGATTAAACTTGCCTATAAATTACTCCTACTCATGTACAGTCAACTGGCAAAATATAGGTAAAAAATTTTAAAAAAAAAAAATGAATGGAAAAAAATGTATTTTAAAGAAAAAAAACTTTCAAAAAATACAAAAACAACTAAAATAAGTGAATAAAAATAACTGATATCCCCTAACGAGTGGATAGTGATTGCTAGAGAGCCCATTAATGAAACTCTAGAGCCCAGATACTGAAGGCAACATCAATCGGCTAAATGACAAACTTTATATTTGTATTATCATATATATATATATATATATATATATATATATATATATATATATATATATATATATATATATACATACACACACACACACTTTTTTTTTCTTTTTTTTTTTTTTTTTTTTTTTTTTTTTTTTTTTTAAACAGAAAAACCCAAAATTACCTCAACATGGTATAGTCTATTTCAAGCCTTTCTGTACACAGCTATCATGAGCCCCTAAATGTCTGCCTCAGAGAATTATTTTAAATTTATTTTCAATGTCAGTCCTCCTCTGGTAGATGCCTTGTTAATGAGAATGGGCTTGTGTTGACAGCTGGTGGGAGGGGGGAATAAGGTATCTTATCGGGGGTGGAGAGGAGCGGTCTGAGGTTGGAATTTATTTATGGCTACAGCGTTTCGTTGTTTGTAGTTTAATATCAGTTCCTACAATATGACGTTTATTATACCAGCCCCAAGTGTGTAATAGTTTTATTCTACCAGGGTCCAATATTATTAAGTGATGGTGGATTTAAACTTAAACCCGTTAAGATTAATGTAAATTAGTTGAATTATAGATACCAGAGCACCCAATGGCAGAAATGAAAAATTTTAAGTCTATGACAAGAAAAATTTTGCTTAAAGGCACTATTCAGCTTTGCCAGGTCAGCTAAATTCTGCATAACTCAGTCAGTGCACATCAGATCTAACTACACTTCTCTCTGCCCAGTGGAGATGCAGGCTTGAATTCTGCTGGAGAGTTCATATTTTTTTTTTAATAAGATTTTCTCAAGTAGTCAGGCCAGTAGAAAGAGAATAAATAAATATTTATACTGTTAAATAAATAAATAAATGGAACATATACTCAAATATGTGTATCTGCTAAAAAATAACACTTAAAGTGATGAAAAAAATTTTTGGATTAATAAATAAAAATCCATTTTAGAAAATTACTTATATCACTCGTGAAAATATATTTCAGTTGAGCACTTATGAGAGACAGCCTAATTCTACAAAAAGCAGCAGCCTATGCTAAAACACAAAGCTCTTCAGTAAAATGAATGAGAGTACTCTGGCTGACTGGTGTTTGTTTACATTCTTAAAAACAATATGCTAGAATTAGCAGATTCTCTCTGTCGAGTGCTGATGGCTTAGGGGTAGAAACTCTGACGCCAAATCGGTCAGGTTTTAATCCTGGCTTGAGGCTTTCAGATGTCTAGATGCACTGAGGAGCTGTGAAACAGTACTGTCTGTGAATCACACACACACACATATATATATATATATATATATATATATATATATATATAATCTCTTGATAAGATCCAAAGAAGAATCAGAAATATTATTGGGGCTGATCTGATGGCTTGGCTTTAGTAACTTCCCCACCACTATAAGGTTGCCTCTCCTCTCCCTCCATTTTTTTTTTTTTTTTTTTTTTTTTTTTTAAATAAATACTTTCATGGTAATTGTTTGGATGAGCTCTTCAATGTGGGATCTAGACTTTATGAATTTAAGTGCAGTACTAGACTGGTGGTAAGATGTCATCAATTTATAGTTGAGCTGGCTATTTGTAGCCGTAAATTCTATGCTAGCAGTTTTTTTTTTCTCACACTTATCACTTGTGTAACTCCCTTCCAGTTCCATGTTTTTCAGACAACTTTGGATCAAAATTTTTGCTGATTAATGTCAATCGCTATCTACTGTCCTCCTGATTCATCTTCTCTCTTTCTGCTCATTACTAATGTTTCTGTTCCTAATTCTTTTACACCCTGTAACCCCCTTGTGTTTTCATAGCTTTACCACCTTGCTTGGGTTGATACTGAGTTTATATATATATATATATATATATATATATATATATATATAATAGGTATATTATTAATCAGTCATTTATAATCTTCATTTACAATCTTTGTCTCTTTGTCTTCTTGTTGGTATGGAAAATGGCTACGGTAATAATGCCATATCATTACTGATTAAAAGCCTGATCTTTTAGGCTTAATAGAGGTTTGGAATTCTCTAGAATGTGAATGTCAATTTGCATGTTTATAGATAGGGAAGAAGAGGCGACTTGGTGCTATATACTTTACTGGAGCATACTGTTGGCTAAATGAAAGCAGAATCTATAATAATACTGCATCTCATCTTGGGACCAAAAAAAATGGTTGGTGCCACAACACGCCAAAGAACCAAATTGATTTTTTTAAACTAAGCCATTGAAGCTGGTTTACTGTTTCCTGCTAGACAATTTTTCTTGTCAAAATCTATCTTACATATTTATAAGTCTACCATTCATCCATACTTTGAATATGGCTGCCACATCTGATTTGGTGCTTCTGTGATATATTTAGAGATTCTCAATGAAATGAAAAGAAATCTACAATGTTATTGGTCCTGATCTGGTATCTCTGCTTCAGTCCCTTTATCGCTGTTGTAACATATCTTCCATATGCGTTTTCTATAAATATTTTTATAGTAATTGTTCTGATGAACTTTCCTCTATGGTACCTAGATTTTATGAATTTAAGCGCAGTACTAGATTGGTGGCAAGGTTTCATCATTTTACAGTTGAAATGGCTGCTAGATGTAATCAAAGTTCTATGCTAACAGTTTTTTCTGTCGCACTTCTCACTTGTGGGTCTTTCTTCCTGCTTCCCGGTCAATTTTGCTTTTAAATTTTTGAAGATCAATGTCAATGACTTGAAGCAACAGAAATCTGGTTCTACAGAAGGATGTTGAGAATACCATGGACTGAACATGTGAGCAACAATGAAGTTTTAGGGAACATGGAAATGAAAAGGACACTTATACATAATATCAAGAGATAGTTGAAATTTCTAGAGTACATAATGAGGAAAGGAGGCTTGCAAAATTTGATACTCACAGGACAGATTGAAGGCAAGAGGGACAGAGGAAAACAACACTTAATGAGCTCGAGTAAATGGATAGCAGACAAGGTTTAGGAGAAATAACAGACAAAATTTATTAAGAACTATGAAAGACAGGAAATTGTGGATAGCTATGATCACTTATGTCCTGAAGGAACACGACACATAAAGAAGAATGGCAGTCAAAGAATCTCTGAAAATTAAAACAGAAACTTGAAATTATGAAGATCTTGGGATATCCACAGGACAAGCAAAACCTGACACTTTCATAAAATTTGGAGAATTATCTTGACAGTCAATGGTGTGCAGCCACTGCTCTACCATTTGGCCACTATTTCCCCTGGGTCTTATTGCTGAGTGGGAGGGCCCTGAATGGAGATCTGCAAGAGGTAATTTAGCATTTCAGTGTAGTTTACAATGAGCAGAAAACAATACATAAATATTTCAAGATTTTTTTTTTTTTTTTTTTTTTTTTTTTTAAATGAAACTTGACAGAAAATAATTTTCTTTCTTTGTTTATTAAAACAAAATTAGTTCATTAGTTCTTAATGTTTTTATTTTTTCACATTTCAAAACAATACGAATATCTGAACTGAGGTTTTTTTGATCTTGAATTTTCATTCAGGTTTTATTCCCCCCCATTTAAAAGTGTTTTTTATATATTTTTGCTTGAGTGCTCTCTTAAATTACAAAAACAAATGAGTTTACTGTAATTTTTATAAAAATCACATCTTTTTTTCTATTTAAACATTTTTAGTTAAATCACTGTGAAAAATTTCTCACATGGAAATACTTTTATTAATTAATTTTCATGCTTGGAGTAAATTATCGTTGCTGTAATTTTATAATTGTATTCTAAACATTCCGTTTCTATATAAAATAAATATTAACACATTTCAACTATTTATTTTTTTAAGTCTTTACCAGAATTTTTTACAATTACCTGCCTCATACCAAGACTAAATTTTCTGTTTTACATTTTTTTTTTTTTTTTTTTTTTTTTTTAAATTCTTCCTTTAATTTTCAATTTAGTTTATGAAAAACAGAAACCATGTTAATATTTCATTACTTCAAGATTTTTAGCCAGAAATTGACAGAATAATTTGGTTGTTTATTTATTAAAGAAAAAATTAGTTCTTGTAATTAGTCTGTTTTTCACATTTCTCAATCATTTGTCATTTGTGTTTCATTTTTCAGTTTAAAAAGTGCTTAAGTATATTTTTATTTTTTTATTTTGTTTGTGTGTGTGTGCGTATATATATATATATATATATGTTCCATTTATTGAAAATTATTTCTAAGAATTTTACTTTAAGAAATTTCTTGCTTTTAGAATAAATATAATAGAAATATAATTGAAAGGAATTTTATTCATCAAGTATCATCTCGAAAAGCCTTAACCACCGATCCAAAACTGGTGTTTCCACCTTATTTGTTATTTACAGTTGGACTATTGTCCCCATCTTTGTTATTATCATGTTGGCCATTGTAACCTTTCACCTTCTTCATGTGTCTGTCAATCAAGGTAGCCTTTGAACTGAGCCCTTTATTTAATTTATGAGGGTAGATTGGTCATATATATATATATATATATATATATATATATATATATATATATAGAGAGAGAGAGAGAGAGACATATCTCGTCCTGTTCAAGGGCTTACAACCACATCCATGTTAAACCCTGGTTCCCATACAATCACCAAAGTTAAGCAACATCAAGCCTGGTCAGTACCTAGATGTGTGGCCATTTTGGAATACCATGTGCTGTAAGCTTGGACGTACAGGTCGTATAATGGATAATGGCTTAGAATTGTTAATAGGGGAGCCAATTTCTAATTTCCAATTCCAGTTGGGTTCATTATATTCACTTATGTGAAAATAACCTTGGAAAATGTATGAATTCACCTCTTCTCCCCCAGTTATGGGTTAATTAGTAAGACTTGTATCACTACTATTATTATTAATTCCAAAAAATAAAATTGTGTATATTCAGATTATTGTCCCCATCTTTGTTGTTTTTATCACAACATTTCATCTTGTATCCTTCTGCTTTCTTCAGGTGTATATTTTTCTGGGTAATCTACAGGGAATTCTGTACTGAACTCTTTAACATATGGGTTTAAGCCACTCGCCTGTACAAGTACACGCTGCTCTACTCAAATTCACAAACCGTGGACCATGGCCTAGTGGGTAAAAGCATTCGTTTGTGAATTTGTTAACATAGTCATTGTGAGTTCAATCCTCGGGATGACAGTGTGTACTTGCACTCAGAAGAAACACGTGAGCAATAGCTGGAAACTACTAAATAAAATAAGAAGTAGATAATATATCCTTAGACATGAGTGGAACGAGAACAGTCTACCTCTTTTGATTAAATAAAGGGTTCAGATCAGAATTCCCTGTAGTTTACACAGATCAATATGCACCTCAGGAAGGTTGGCGGGAACAATGACTGAAATACTGTGATAAAAACAACAAAGATGAGGACAATAGTCTGAATATAAACAATGTAAATAATAATTCCTCATCGCAGAAATTCAGTCAAAAAAATATTTAGATTTTGGCACTAAATAACCCATGACGGTGTTGATATGCAGTTAAACAACCAGTCATCATCCTGTTCCTTTTTATTTTTAAGTAAGAACAATTGATATCCCTTAAGATGAAATAAAGGGCTTAATTCAAAATTCCCTGAAGGTTACCTTAATCAACAGACACCTGAAGAAGGACAGAGAATAAAATGGCCAAAATGGAATAACAAAGATAAGGATACACTATTTACATTGTTCAGACTATCATCCTCATCTTTGTTGTCATATTTATTACAACGTTTCAGCCGTTGTACACTCCAGCCTTCTTCAGGTGGTTGGAATGTCAAACTAAACCCTTTAATTCGCTTGCTGTGATATACTGTTCTAGTTCCGCGTGGCATGTCGAATGGATGTCAATTATCAGTTATCTCCTCTTAGTTCCCCTCTCCAAGTTCTTCACTGCCTTCACCCAACTTATCCACTGGGCACAGTGGATAAAGGTGTTAGTTAGATCCAGTTACATTACCCAAAGAGTGTGAGTTCAATACCTGGTTAATGCAGTAGAGAACTTGGAGAGGCGAATTAACAGAAGATAACTGATAACTGACATCCATTAGACATGGCACATGGAACTAGAACAGTCTACCCCAGGGGACGAAATAAAGGGTTCAGTTCAACATTCCAACCATCTGAAGAAGGCCGGAGCATACAACGGCCAAAAAATTGTAATAAATATGGCAAGAAAGATGAGGATGATAATCTGAATAATGTAAATAGTGTGCATAATACCTCATCTCAGAAATATAGACAGATACTGAAAGATAAGGATATTAGTCCAACTGTAAATATTAACGCCTAATTCCAAAAATTGAGACAGAAAATTGAATATTCTGTTGTGCCCCAAGATGATATTAATCTTGCTCTCCGCTGAGACTTATACTAATCCTCAAAAAGATTAGTAGAGGTCTCAGCGGAGAGCAAGATTAATATCATCTAATATATATATATATATATATATATATATATATATATATATATATAATTATAGGTAATCAATATGTTGTTATATAATCCGGTGGATCCTAGTAATATTAATTATTAAAACTGATCCACAAAGAGCTCGATATATTTATTATAACAGAGCATATATATTTTTACAGCAAAAAAAAAAACAAAAATTACCTCAACATAGAGGATAGTCTATTTCAAGCCATTCTTAGAGGTTGATGATAGCTGCATACAGAATGACTTGAAATAGAATATCCTCTATGTTGAGGCAATTTTCTTCCCCCTCCCCCTGTAAAATATAATGCCAAAATTAAATACTCATGAAAAGGGAAAAAAAAATTTGAAATATTTATTACACAGCATGTATGGATAAATAAAATTTTTTAAAAAATGCTGCTATTATACATTGATTCATTTAGAATATCTTTATAGTTTTAATAACATTTCAGCCACTTTATTCTACAGCCTTCTACAGTTGTCTGTTACCTGTGGTAACCTCCTAGTAACATCAAATACAATTCTTTTGATCCACAAAACATGACTTTCACATTCCTCAAAAATTTCAGAACTCATAATGATCAATCTTTCCATTTTGATGCCAGTCTGATTCCCCCCCCCACTCACCCAGTGTATATTTTTGCACTACCTGACCCAAGACTTTCAGGGTTCTCATCCTGTAATATCTGGTAACTCTTCTATGGAATTTTAGAACTTGTAACTCAATTCTTCTTTTATGACATCCTTCTACCTCTCAACTAAGCCAATGTGTATTTCTTCACAACCTGACCCAGGAATTGAACTTTGTCATGCAAATACTTATATGGCTGTTTTTCAAAGAAAAAAAAATTCTAGGAGCACCTTACAAAAATGAAAACAAAAATGAGCTATTGCTGGCATAGCGAGATGTGACAAGAAATTTGAGCTTGGCAATAATGTTGTCGATCAATTAATCATTAAACAAAACTTACTGCAATAAGTCAGGCTGGAGTTTGTCAGCCACACAACAATGGAAAACAATTTGCCAAGGCTGTCTAGCAAGTTTTGTTTTTTTTTTTTTTCCTTTGATTTTTTTTTTTTTTATATTCATTTTACCTCAAGCAAGTCAATAGTGTCTCTAAGATGCAAGAGGTTACCAGGAGTGAAAGAGAATGAGAAAACTTTAGTGAGGAGAAAGGACAATAAAAGAACAGGTTTCAGGAAGACAGATGGTGATTGACATTGCATTTTAATTTTTGAAGATCATAGATGGCAGGAAAGCAAGAAACCATAAGGCGAGAAGTGCAAGAAAAGAAACTATTATATTACATCTAGCTCGTTCAACAGTAAATTTTAAACTGAAACAGCTCAATTCTACCTTTCAAGCCTTGTTTTCAAAAATCATTTACATGGTACTATGACTTGTTTTCCAATCTGCAACCTCTTTCCCCGTAGCCGTAATGTTGCAAGACTGGCACAACTCGATCGTTATTACCATGGTAAATCTCCAGATGAACTCCATTCTTTAGTACCACCAGTTCAGAACTTTACAGTTAGAATATATATAATTTCCATAGTCAAATCACCCACATTTCCTCTGTAATCTGAAGAGAAATTTCCACTTAGCTTCTTTTCCAAGAACTGCTACTTTGGGGAACAGATTCTTGTGTGGGTGCTTCTCTAATCTCTGCAATCTTAACCTCTTCAATTCAATGATCAGTTGTTATCTATCCTTCGTAACAGCTCCTCATATGTTCATATCATGCACCTCATTTGCTAACCCTCTACCTTGAGTGGCTCTCAAGCTTTATGTTGGGTGAATTAATCCTGTGGCTTAATTGTGTTAACAACTTTGACATTTATTTGCACAAGAACAGGTAAAAAATATTTTACTCGTCTTAGCCATGAAATCACTGGGACATGACCAAATGAATCAATATATATTAGTCGCAAGATTTTGTTTTTTTTTTTAGAAATTCAGAAAAACGTTTAAAAATTAAGACTTTTTACAGCATAGAATTATTTCTTTAAAAATATTCATAATTTTACAATTTCATTTTATGAAATTTGCAGGTAGTAAGGGTTGGTTGGCAAATTTAAAAATGAAAAAAAATGTTTAATGTTGATGTTTCATGATTTTTTTTTTTTTTTTATCACCTCTTTAGCATCTTTTCCTTTTTTTTTTTTTTTTTTTTTTTAATTTCATATCCAAACATGTGTATGTCTACTTTTCTCTTTCTTGATATACTTCTAAAATCTGAATCTACAGATATCAGATGTTGATTCGTTTTTTCACCACTTTAAAGGTCAAAATGAAAGTTCTGTTTCCTGTGTCATTTTTGGTAAGTGAAATATTTTTTTAATCTCCCTGTTGGTCCCCCCCCACCACCGACTGATGTGTGAGTGTGTGCTTGTCTTTGGGGTCTTTACTCTTTCAGTCCTCATGGGTTAAATTACATTCAGCTTTTAATGTAACTTAACGTAATGGAAACTGTAGTGGTTCACTTTCAATAACTACCTTTTTATTTTCATATATTGAACGTTTATATTCTATCCTTCTATTCTGTTTAGTATCCAGGCTGATAATCATTTGTAAAAGAAGTTTAAAATGGAAGAAAAAGAAATGTCTTAAATACTCAATACAAGCTAATTGAATGACAAAGTGGAAAAAAAAACAAACTATATAACACATTTTGTCTTTTGAAAGGACTTCATCAGGCTAAAGTAATGATTTTGTTGATGGAGGAGGGGAAGATATAAACACAAATGGCATTTATGATTATGTCTCTCCCACTCCCCCATATATATAATTCCATCAATAGGAAGATTACTTTATTGCAATGAAGCCCTTTCAGAGTCTGAAATGCATTAAAAAGTATGTTTTTCCAGTTCAGCATTCAATTACCTAACATTGTTCTGATATAGAAATTACATTCCCATATGATTTATTTGTAATCTGACATCGTTTTAAACAGTGTGTATTGTGTCTACCAACCTGCACACTTGAGAAAACTTAAAGAAAATGTGCCCTCTTGCAGAATTTGAACCTGCATCCACCTTTGTAGGAGAAACATCTGATCAGTTTTGCTTTAGGCTGCTTAACCACGGAGACTATCACAGCACATTTTCTTTGAATTTTTTCAAGTACACAGGCTGGTAGGCATAACATATAGTGTTTTTTTTTTTTTTTTTAAGAGGGTGTCTACTCAAATACAGGCATCCGCTAAAAAGAAAAAATTGCAGTAAATTATATATA